CGAAAAAAAAAAAAAAAAAAAAAAAAAAAACCTGAGATAATCTCCTTATATAAAGAAACAAATTATTTTGGCTTACAGTTTCAGAGATGTCAGTCATTTGATGGTCATTTGATCCCCCTTGCTTTGAGCCTGTGGCACACACGACAGAGGAGGTCTTTTCACCTCATGGCAGCTGGGAAGGAAAAAGAGAGGGAGGAAGGGGCCTGGTCTGAATATCCTCTTCCATGCCATACTCCCTTTGACTTTACTTCCATTAGCTCCTGCCTCCTAAATGTCCCACCATCACCCAGTACCACCACAGTGCATGGGGAACATTCAAGATTCAAACTATAGCACCACTCACATACTATACATTTAGATTCAATAATGACTAACAATTGTCGCTGTTGCTTTCTCTCTCTCCCTACACATGTCCCAAATACAGATACTCAGATCTTTTTAGCAGAACTGTTTGGAAGAAAGTTGCAGGGATCATACTTTAGCCTTAAATTTCAGCATATTTCCATAAAATATGGATATTCTGCTACAAAACCCGGTTATTATGTTTTTTTAAAAATTCCGTATCATCTTAAATCCAATCTCTAAATTTCCCCAATTTTTCACCAAATGTTTTTATGGTGGTTTTAATTTTTTTTTCTAACTGGGATCCAACAAGGGTCATATTTTGCAATGTTGTGTATCTTTAGACTCTTAATTCTTCTAATCTAGATCAGTTTTTCCACCTTTGTTTGTGCTATTGATATTTGTTTGTTTATATGTATGTACTCATCATTGAACCCAAGGCCTTTACACTGAACTACATCCCTAACCCTTTTTTATTTAACATTTTTTATTTTGAGACAGAATCTCACTAAATCACTAAATTGCCCAGTTTGGGATGGAACTTGCCATCCTCCTGTCTCAGCCTCCCAGAATTCTGGGATTACAGCTATGCACCACCACACCTGTTTATGACATTGATTTTTGGGTGGGGGCGGTACCAGGGATTGAACTCAGGACCTTGCACTTGTGAGGCAGGCACAGTGCCACGTAGTTAAATCCCCTGCCAACATTAATTTTTTTTTAAAGAATTCAGGACAATATTTTTCATGTTTACATTCTACATTTGTCTGATTATTTATTGACTTGCTCTTCTATCTCTTGTATTTTCTATAAACTAGAATTCAGGGCTCAAAGTGAACAAGATTCAAATTGAAGTTTTCTGGCAAAATACAGATAATATCTGCGTATAATCTAAAAACATAATAGCTATCATTCCACCATTAGTGATGATAAATTTAATCACTAAGTTAAGATAGCATCTACCAGAACTCATCATTGTAAAGGTATATTTTTTAAATTAATAAGTAATCTGTGGGGTAATACTTCATCAGTGTGTAAATATCCTGTTTCCCAACAACCTATCATCTAGGGATTTTATTATCCACTTAGGATTTTTGTCTAAATCCTAATTATATTGTTATTACAAAAGTATTTTTTTAATTTAATGATTCATTCTGTATGTTATTACCTAACAGTCTTTTTGTAGAGAAGTGAATTCCTTTCTCTTTCTCTTCTGTTGTGAACTATTACTATGGACTGGTGGATTTTGTTTTTTAATTCGATATATTATAGTCAATTACAATTATCCTGGTTTTTAGTGCTTAAATTGTCCCAGATTTGGCCAGTGTGAGCTGTTCAGGTCAGTTCCTATGTCCTTTTGACATAATCTCCATCAATTTTCTGGGTACTTTCTTGCTTTCTGGTACAAAATGTTCCAGATTCAATTTGACATTCTCTACTTGGACCTAAAATCTGTCCCTTTTTTCAAGGATCCTCAGAGATTTTAAATTCACCTTTTTTCGCTAAGCAAATATATTAAAAGTCATCATTCTATATTTATCATATTTAGCCTTTCCATAAGTGCTTCAATGACTTTCCCATCATCTTCAGAAACCCTTTCACAGCAGCCTTTACCCTGGAGCCCTGATGCGCCAGGCTCCATGCCTCCTCTGTGTAGAACTTCACGTCTCCTTCACATCTCCAAGGTGTCATATTTTGGGGGTGTGAAAAGTGAGCCCTAGACCAAACTGGAAAGTGGATCATTGTACAGAGTCCACGGTAGAGCTGCAGTAGGAGGCTTAGATGGGCGGGGCATCTGAAGGGAAAACACACCGCCCCACCTCCCTGAGTAGGATGCAGTCAGCGGCTGCCCACAACACTGAGGCCCTTTTTCCCACAGCCCCGCGCTTCCCTGCAGCCTCACTGCTGCTGCAGCTGCTGTGCGCTGCCTTCCTGGAAGACAGAGAGACCCAGGGGAGGGGCTGCATGACACAGACCAGGAGCTCTGCTTTATTCTCAAACGTAGTGCTTAGAACAAGACTTCAAGATCAGGGGAGAAAAAGCAGGGTGGTAACTATTACGCTGGCTCCTCAACGATCATCCCAATGGTCATATGACCTCATAGACTATTATTTTGATTATTTGTATAGGAAAAGTGTATTAATTTTCCTCCTATATTTATATTTGGGTTTCTGTATTTGAATATATTCTGTCTGGATTTACTATATCTTTTAGTAAACTGGGATACTTTTCCCCACCAGTGAGTCCTCATTATCTTTATTGCATTAAAACTCTCAGTTGTAGACAGTCTCTTTCAGCTGTGTCCTCCTGTGTCTAGTATAGTGTTTTCTCCCAGAAAGCCCTGTGTTATACTCCCCTTCCAGACCAAGTACCTCATTGCCCAGATAATGGCCAGAAATAATCTCTTGTCAAATAGAAAAGAGCAGTTGAGTTTGAGAAATTGGATTTAGGCCCGAGAGTCAAACTAAAGACATACATTCATACAGAATTTACAGATTCCACTAAAACTGCATTAACAAACTATCAGCAATAAGAAAAATCAAATGCCTGCTGAATGCTAGGTATAATGATAGATACCAGGAAAATACAAAGACCACAGCACTCAGCCCCGTCAGAGCTAAATCCAGGTTGGGGTGCATGTAATATCTGATTGTGGGTGTGATCAGAAATGTCTGAGCTTTAAAAGAAAATTGCCTTCCGTGAGAAGAGGAAAATGACAACCGTGGATTTTCTGGGAGTTTAAGAAGAGAGGAAGTTCGGGGATTGAAGTGAGGATTTAAAAGTGGTTGAGGGCCAGGAATTTAGCTCAGCGGCACCACACCTACCTTGCAAGAGCAAGGTCCTGAGTTGGGTCCCTGGTACCAGAAAAAAAAAAAAAGTGGCCTTGAGTCCTCTAGCCTTCTCGTGACTCTACCTCAAAGGGCAACCTCCTCTCAGATGGAACTAGGCTTATTTGATCTAAATACTCAAACCCCTTCCTTGGAGATTGCTTTAAAACTATGAAGGGAACCTACTGCTACTGTTAGTATGGATTTATTTCTTCCAAAATCGACATTGGATGACGCCATTGCATACCCTAGAACTTTGTGTCCTTCATTCTGGAGTTTTGTGATGCAATAAAATAACAGCAACAATAAGCAGGGTTTCCTAGGAGAGGTAGAATCTCTCCTCAGACAATTGACTTTCCAGTTCTTTCGACAATAGCTTTAATATAGTACAGTGTATCGACTGACCTTGAAAGAATTAAAATAAATGGCCTCCCAAGGTCCTTCCTAGCCTCAGCATTCTGCGATGTTTCCCCTTCTAATTCCCGTTTGTGTGGGGCATCATTCCAGTAAGCACTGGGCTGTGAAAGTTTCAATCCTTCAGCAACAGGAGTGAAAATAAACAGGTTTTTACAATATGGCAGGCTTGTGGGGTGGGGTGCGGCTATTCTCCAGGGTCTCCAGCCCTGCTGACAGGCTGCCTCTGTCTGCCTGGGTCTGCTCAATGTAATTTTCTAAATTGAATATGCAAAATCCTCCCAGACTCCTGACTTCAAGGGCAGTGTATTGGTACTTCTGAGGTATGCAGTGATCTAATACCCTGCCAGTCTGTTACTATGCGACAAAAGCTGAGGTCAGTGATGATTCCCCAGCAGTGTGACCCACAACATCTCTCATGCCTCTCATTGCAGTCTATTTTGAAGAGCAGACACTTTAATATTTCTAGAGGGAACCAGAATTATCATTCAAATGATAAACTGCCACACAGGCAGACACTCTTTTGTGATTCATTGAAGTGCAGGGCTTAAGAGGTTATGCGTTCGGTATCAGTGTTATTAAAGAGAGTAAAGACAAATCAGAGAACAAATCAAATGTTGCACATCTAGATCCCAGGCACAACAAAATAATCTTCCAATATTAATATATGGGCTACATAACCCCACTGGGAAAAACCATATTTTATTCAGGAAAACAACAAATCAAGTAATTTCTCTATAGAAAGCCATTTACAGTTCATTTGGAAATTGGATTTATAATCTTTAATACAGCCTGTTTATACTAACAATAAAGGGGTTTCAAATAAATAAAACTGAAAGGCAGTGATAAATTAGCTTCCTAGCCTTTATTTGTTTATCACACTATAATCATTCAAACCCACTGAAGTGAAATTTGTTTTGCCAATTTTCCTAAATTCAATCCAATGAGCTGTTGGTTCTTACATAAAACCAATTTATATTATCAAGTGACAGTAAGAAAAATTAACATTATGCTGGTTCTTACTACCCAAAGGGACTTTACTAAATATAATAATACAGGTTTTACCATCCAGAAATCTATTATTTAGATGTAAATTCTAGACATATCCTCTGATACTCTTTAAATGGTAATAAAACAAAAAGCATACCCTGGGGAACATGTCATACCCAACATGTTAAAAAGGATGCCTAGGGCTTGGTTAGAAAATAAAGAGCCGAGTTAGAATTTTATGAAAAAATCATGATGACAAAGCCCTTTCCATTTAACAATCACAGTTCATCCACATCATGGAATCAGCAGCTGGAAGTGAACAGAGGAGGTGTCTGGCTTTACCCTTTGCTTGGCATTCAGCTTTGGATAATGCAGTCACATCATCGGCTGCAAATCAGGCCAGGAGAATCTGCTCGGCAAATTCCCCAGGACAACAGGGTTCCTCCTGGGCAGAGGCCCAAGGCTGGGCTGTGGCCTCCCTACTGCTGGCTGCTACAGATCTTCTTAGTGACCCATGTCCTGAGACCCACTGTCTGTCTCTGGGACGCTGGCTTTGCCAGGAAATTCAAAATGCTCTCCTTCACAAGAGCTCAAACGCTCACACTGTCTTCCTCAACAAGACGATGAGTCCTTATGGAGAAGAATGTGGGAGGAAAGGTAAACAGTGCACGTGAGCGGCCAAGAACTGTCCAGAGCCAAGAACAAAGCAGTCACTCCTTCCCAGTCATGGGACAAATATTTGCTAACCAGGGCTCTGTGTACACCATTGTCCATAGCTGGATGCAGGCTTCCCAGGCCCCAAGTCAGGATGTGGAGGTTTCCTGTTTCCAGCTAGCAGAGGGTGAGAAGCATGGAGAGAAGGACTAAGAAGCAGGCCAGCCTCTCCTCTGGCAGTGCTCTGTAGCTGTTGCCTGGCCTCTTCTCTGAGCTTCACTGTTCTAATCCTCATGGGCAGGATGACAGAATCCACCATGGTGCTACTGTGAGAGGTGGTTTGTGTGTAGCTCAGGGCATGGCACTGAGTCAACACTCCCTGCCTTTCTGACCATACTGTCCCAGACCCCAAACTGGATGGGACATTCCGCCTCCACCCAGCAGCACAGCTTTTGTCATTTTTCTTTCTTCGGTGAGTCCTCTTTCCATGCTAGAGCCATGAGGGCCTGGGTGGCAGAAGCCTCAGCCTGTCCAACCCTGCCCTTCCCACAGGACCACCTATGGCTCCTCAGGGCTCCCAACCCTCACTGTGGGCACACTGCTTGCTGGGAAATGGAAGAGGAGCACATCTCTGGCCATTGTCTCTTTTCCTCACAGTTGCCTTCTCTTCTGCAGTCAGGCCTGTGGCCAGAAAAAGCCCAGGATCTCTGGCATTGTTCCCTGCAAGTCAGAGTCTGAGCACAGGGAAAGGAGAAGCCCAAAACTCTTACACTCATCACCCATGTTCCCTTAGGGGACCGTGACGGGGTTCCCCACCACTCCTTGATGTGCTACCTCCCCCCACCCCAGCATTAAACCAACATGGCTCCTTTTCTCCCTGTGGGTGACATTAGAGGAATCGGTGGCCTACAGTGGCACGGGCAATGTGTGAAAATTTATATAGAGTAAGCTCAGCTTGGCCTCAGAATTAGGGATGTAGACTACAGTGCATTAGCCTTATTTTAATTGAGAAAACTGAGGCTAAGAGAGGTTAAATTGCTCCCTCAGGTCACAACTACAAAGCACATAGGCTGGGACTCGAGCGCCCAGCTTCAGCTGGCTGCCTCCTTAGCAGGTGTCCATGTGGGAGCTGACTCATGGCTTTTGATTCATTCGGTTCTCTTTTCTGCATTAACATTGGTCCAGCCCAACAAACAAATATTGCATTACGCGTGTCTCACTTTGCAAACATCCACACGAGGCTGCTTGCCTGCAAGCTAAGAGCCATAGCACTTTCAGGTGACGTATTGACAGCCTGGCTTCTGGTTAAGTTAAAAAAAGAATCGTGGAGATCATGTCAATGAGGAATCCTTAAGCTAGGGCTGGAAAACTTGTCTGTAAAGCCCCGATTGTACATAAACATGCATTTTCCTGGGGCCACGGCTCAGAACTTTCATCGGTTTTTCAAAGTAGTTTTATACCCTAAAGAGTTAAGAACTGTACATATTCTGGCCAAACCCAGACCTCACATTCCCACGCGTGCCCCCATCATTGTTTCATGAAGCAGCATAATTTGTGATAGAGAAAACCCAGAGCTCAATGCCAGAAACAGAATCTGAGCTCTGAATCTTCTGGCAAACATTTTAAAGACTCATAAATTAGTAAAATGGCTAATTAAGTCAACCTTCACCAGAGAATATTTGCTTTTTACTCTGTCATTGAGCTCACTGTGAAACTTGATTTTGCTCCATCATTTGCTTTCAGTGCAAGGTCAGTTCTCTTGGTTTCTTCTTCCCTGGAGTAGGAAGAGCTTTGAGTGGCCGGCATGGTTACAGTAGCAGCTGTGACCCAGTATACACATCTGAGAGACTCCAAACCCTCTCTCTTCTCTGCCCTCTGCAATTTGTGCCATTTGGCTCCAAGCTGCCTACTGTTACCTGAAGTCCTGCTATTGTGCTGGCCTTGCTCCTCCCTGATCTGGGTGACCCAGGTTGGTTCCCGTATCCTTCACTCTTAGGAGAAGCACCCGCCCCCAGGTATTGTGAGTGAGTGGCCTGGAGGTGAAAACGCACCAGCTTCGTCGATGAGGTCTACTGGCTTCTGCTCAGCTATGTGAGGAGGCCAGCTTTATACCTAGCCCTCAATTTTGGAGCGCATTTACCAAGTTTCTTTTTTCCCACATCGAGATTGTACATCCAGGCCCCTTTTCCATTTCCGCCTCTTTTGGAAAACCTTCTCATTTGTCTATATCAGTTTCATCTATTTCAAATTAGATTATAAGCACCTTGAGGGCAAAGAACCTGTTTTTCCTTCTTCCAATATATTTACCACCAGGTTTGTACCAAGTTAGATGCCATATAACTAAATTAATCAAGAAGTAGGCTTCTCTTCACCCCTGCACACCCCAGTCTTTGGAGTTGACCACTTGCTAAGATTGTCCATTGCAAAATGAAAACACAGGGTCCTAGATAGGTCAGTCTCCCAATCCTGTAGGCCTACTGCTTCAACCTATGGCCAAAAGGTGACTCCACAGGGATTGCACCTCTGCATCTGGATAAGGGATGGGCAAGGGACTGTCATCAAGTCCCCAACCAAATGTACAGTGGCACTACCAGCCCAGGACCAAGATTGCTACTACCTTGTCCTAATCTAAGATGTCACGGGGTGCACATCCAACCCAAACCCCACCCCCCATACCTTTGCCAAGGTCACTGCCATAAACACAGAATGACAGTAGAACACAAATGTCCCCCACTGATGCAACCTAGTCACCACCCCAGGAGAAGGATGATAGCTAGGGAAGGGGTGGCCTGGTGAGGCCTAGGACAGGGGACAGGGAGCAGGGGGTCAGAAACAGGAACTTATCCTGGAGAGGTGAGAAACACAGAAGACAGGACTGCTGGAGGGTCAAGGCTCGGAGTCCCCAGGCGCTTGCTCCGTTGTCCCATTAGACTTGCTCTATAGAACCTAAGTACAAAGATCAAGTTACTGAGAGTTTCAGCGAGTCAGCGAGTGCTAAAGCCTCAGGAGCTACACTGGTCATGGGAGGGCTGTGCTCCACTGCTGCCTGCCGTGGGGCCCTCGGAGTGTGGAGCCCGGAGTGACTGCACTGGAGGTGGCCCCTGAAGCCAATCTGTTGCATGAAGTCTTTAACATACAAAAATACCCAGGAGTAGTGAGTAATGCACTCAGGGAAGTGCAGAGTTACCTAGTGGCTATGGTTACTGCCCCTTACCTCATCCAC